ACGAGGAGAACGGCGGGGAGAGCCTGGAGAGCAAGAGGCACGATGTAGACTTGTGCGCCACCAGAGAGATGCATGAGTGATCCGTAGTTGACCCAGAAGGCGAGGCAGGTTCCTGTTGCGATGAAGAGTTGGTAGAGACCGGTAAGTCCACCACGGATACCACGGGGTGCGTTTTCGGAAATGTACAGAGGGACAACCATGGAGGCGCCTCCTACACCTAGTCCAGCGATGAAGCGACCGACGTACATGGCTGCGAGGGCGCCCATGGCTACGGCTTGGATGATGCAGCCGACGATGGTGACGAGACCGGCGATTTGGAGGGCGGTCTTGCGGCCCCAGCGGTCTGCTACCCAGGAGGCGATGAAGCAACCGGCGAAACATCCGGCTTGGAGGGTGGAAGCGATGTTAGCGTTCAGGTTGGCTTTGCCGACTTTGTCGAGGTTGGTGATGTTGTATTTGCTGCGTGGGTTGTCAGTGTCACGGAGCGATTGGAGTGAAGAAGAGATACTCACTCTTGGAATTCCTTCAGTTCAAGCACACCTCCAATGGTTCCGATATCGAACCCAAACAACATGCCACCGAAACAGGCGGAACCCGCCATGGCGAAGGCGCGCCATCCGTAGATCTCATGAGGGTCGGATTTGATGGAGTCGTTCTTGACGATCATGCGAATAAACTTCGCGCCGGTGGATGGAGCTGCCATGATGTCGGGTAGATCGGGGGATGCTACCGTGTCGGTGGGAGTATGAATCTATCTTATCGTCAGTATGCATGACGCATGGAGAAGCTGTTATGGGACACAAGGACCGAATACATACCGACAGAGAGAACGATCAAACCACAAGCTTGACCCTAGACCAGACGCTGGTGTATAGCACACCAGGTGTCGTTCGAAGAGAATAGCGAGAGAAGAGAGAAGATCTCCGCAGATTGCTGGTCTAAAAAAGCTCTCCAGTGGGATGTGCATGGCCATGATATATAAACAGCCAGACGGTACAGCGGCCCATGCGCTATCCTCGCAGCACTAGCTCCTTGCTCAAGACGGGGTAACTCGCCTGGTCCGTCACCGCGGTCTTTGCCCCATGGCTGGCCTGCAAGCTATCGTGATCCTCCATCAACCCCGGACTCAAGACCCCAGACTCCACGTTTCCACACTGCTCTTTCTCTCCACACACAGTGACAGCTGCTGCCGCTAGCCACACAGACAGGGTACCGAGAGCATCAGATGAACGTCCCTTTGTGGCTCCGGCCAATGGGGCACATGCAGGACGAGCGCCGCACTCTGTCGAAGCATGCTTGGTAGTGAGATAGGCTTGGCTCGGCGGAAAGCACGCGGTGGGATTAGTGGGAGCTATGAAAGGCCGTCTTGGAAGTGCCAAGTCCTCCTCTTTTTCCGTCCAATTGACGGCTGGGTGGCGTTGCGAGTTGGATTGCATATCAAAGGGTTGCCAAGAGTAATATCTCCAGGTTCGATCACGGTCTGGGGTCTCCCCCCGCTGTCCTTCCGTTTTCTTGCGGGGGCGTGGAATGGGAAGCAACGGCCTGCGACCTTTCCGCGTTGGGCAAGGTGAGTAATCCGACACATGTCTTCTCCCCCGCTGAGGAAGGCGCTACGGTTGTTGTGGCTATTTATCCGCGTATTAGACCTGCGATGGGGTCGGGGCGAGGGATGCCCCACGACCGCGCCGACGCGTGATGGGTCGAGGGCGAGGCGTTGTGGATGACTTGTGGAGTGGAACGGTTATGGACGTCTGTGGCCTGTCGAATTTGGTCGTGGGGTGCTGGTCTACTTGTCTACTTTGTATGTGTTCAGGCTGATGAGAGAGGGTTCGGGATTGTGTTGGTACGATCTTGCACCGAGGTTGCGCATCACCAATACGTTGCATCCGTCACTTAAACCCAACAACCCCACAAACAAGAGCAACAGCGTCAAGCATTGGAAAGACTGTGTGTCTGTGATTGTGCTCGACGACGGCGAAATCGAATACCGAACTGGAGTCAAGCCTTTCGCCTCAGTACGCCCAATCCGCTGCCTGCATCTTGTTCTACCGTCTTGGGGTTCTGGGCTCCTGGGCATTAATCGGCTGCGCTTAACACCACCAATACGCATCCACCCGCATCTTACATCAAGATTCTTCCAGGCCAAACTCATCGCCAAGAAAGCCTGAACATAATCGTCCGCGCAGCGGAGATAGCGGAACACGGAAGTTGGCGTTGCGATATCCACCGTCAAGTCAGTGATCGTCACGTTTTGTTGTCAAGCCACTCGCAGAAGCAAATACCGTTAGGTCACACGAAGCATGGCGGCGAAGACGGCAAACGCCAATCGGGCGTTCAACCTCCATCCTTTCTCCACGAATCCGCTCAAGACGCGCGACGATGTCGTTGCCGCTGTGGGCTCGCTGCTGGATCCCCTCATTCCGGGTTTCTCACCCAACAATGCTTTGATCAAGGTAGGTAGCACAGGTACACGCTTCGATGAGACAGGTGCGCAGGTCGAAGGCTTCGCTCGCCCGTTATGGGGTCTTGCACCTCTGTTAGCTGGGGGTAACAAGTATGCTGCAACGGACAAGTTTGTCCAAGGCCTCATTTCTGGGACGGATCCTGAGAGTCCGGAGTTTTGGGGGTATATGGAGGATACGGATCAGAGGATGGTGGAGGCGTGTCCGATTGGGTTCACGCTTGCGGTTGCGAATAAAGAGTTTTGGGATCCGTTGACGAAGAGGCAGAAGAAGAATGTAGAGACGTGGTTGGGGAGTATGAATGATAAGAAGATGCCGGATACGAACTGGTACGATGGCCCTTGATATCTTTTTATCTGCCCTGTTGTGTGTCACAAGATGCGATATTAACATTGTATCAGGCTCTGGTTCCGCGTCTTCGCCAATCTGGGACTCGAGAGGAATGGTGCCAAGTGGTCAAAAGAGCAGCTGGAGAAGGACATCAAACAGCTGAACACGTACTACCGCGGCGACGGCTGGTCCAACGACGGACCTGATACGTACCGCCAGATGGACTACTACTCCGGCTCCTTCGCGATCCAATACCTACAACTCCTCTACTCCAAACTCGCCGCAGACATCGACCCAGAGCAAGCCGAGGAATACAAAGAGCGCGCACGCATGTACGCCCAAGACTTCGTCCACTTCTTCGACCCCGAAGGCCGCGCCATCACCTTCGGCCGCTCACTAACATACCGCTGGGCCATGGTCGCCTTCTGGGGCGCAATCGCATACGCAGATCTCGAGCTGCCCGCTCCCCTCTCCTGGGGCGTAGTAAAAGGAATCTGGATGCGCAATCTCCGGTGGTGGACAACGCAACACGACATTTTTCAATCCAACGGCATGCTCACTGTAGGCTACTCGTACCCCAACTACTACCTCGCGGAGAACTACAATTCGCCTCAAAGCCCGTACTGGTGCATGCTCGCCTTCGCCTGTCTCGCAGTACCCGAATCCCATCCCTTCTGGTCCGCAAAGGAAGAACCGCATCCATATGCCAACACGCGTGTCGTACGCTCGCTACCTCACCCCCGCCAAATCGTGTGCCGCTCAGGCGGCCACAGCTTCATGCTTTCCAGCGGCCAATCCTGCCACTACGCCATCAAAAACAGCAACGCGAAATACGGAAAATTCGCCTACAGCGCCGCCTTTGCCTACTCCGTCTCCACCGGCTACCAGGAGCTCGAGCAATTCGTGCCAGAATCCCAACTTGCCTTCTCCGACGACGGCGGCGAGCTGTGGAAGATGCGAAGAGCGCTGAACGGGGACTCGTCGATTGAGAACTTCGAGGGCGTGCCCGTGCTGGTGTCGAGTATGAAGCCTTGGGATGATGTAGAGATTACGTCGTATCTGGTGCCGCCGGCGGAAGAGACGCCGAACTGGCATCTCCGCGTCCATCGTGTGACTTCTGGTCGCGATATCAAGAGCGCAGAGGGTGCATGGGCTGTGTACGGAGCTCGCGAATCAGACGGCCGTCTTCTCACCGAATGGAACGGCACACTGCGTGCACTAGATACCTCCATCCCCGAGGGCGGCGCTTCAGACTCCACATCCGCGTTTGCGGCTTCGCCTCGTACGGGTGCAGTGGGTATCGCGGATGTTTACCAGACAAACCGCGAGGGAAGCGTTATTCTAGCGGATGCGAATAGTAATCTGCAGGAGAGTAGGACGGTGTTGCCGGTTCTGCAGAAGGATATTAAGAAAGGGGAGACGGTGTGGTTTGTTACGGCGGTGTTTGCTATGCCGGCTAGTAAAGAAGGGTGGAGGGAGAGTTGGAAAGAGGGCTGGGAGAAGAGACCGGCTGTGCCGGGGTGGGTGAAGAGTTTGATGGAGAAGTAGAGTGGTGTGTATGTTTCTGGTGTGGCTGGTTGTTAGGTAGTTTTACCTAAAACGGACCTGTTGTATGGAAATATGCTTCTCGGTTTTCCAATTTTGTGGTTTTATGGAGTGTATAACGATGAAGTTTGTGTTAGTGAAGTTGTAATGAGTACACACAGCTACATGTACACTATCGCCCATCTGCTCGACTGGTCTGAGTAGAACTTACACGAATACAACAAGCATGCACCTTCACCACGTATAATCCACGATGCGAAAAGACTAGTGTACCCTACCATTATGAAGCCTTTTCCCTACATGCAACATTCTGCTTTTGATACTATACTCCAGCCCATGAAAGAAACAAGACAAACGAAAACAAGGGTATATCCAGGCCGAGACATTTCCAAATCCAATGCATGCCAAATTTTTCTTTCCGCCACTCCGACCTAATCCCAGCCTCACGTATCCCACGTCCCCCTCTCCCTCACACGTCTCGCATCCCTCCTCACACCCGCATTCGCACCCGCACCCGCACCCCTCCCACCATCTCTGCCCCCATACTCCTCGTCTTCAAAATTCATAACCCGATACCCATCCCCCAACACCGTACTCTCCCTCCCTTCCCTCCACGTCCCCATCCCCCCATCCCCATCCATCCGTCTATCCCTATTACTCTCACTATACCCCGGCGGAACCGGCCACTGCATCTCACCATCCCCATCTCCCTCATTCTCACCTGCACCAAACGGATAGTGGCCTATGTCTGTTGTCAAACTAGCTGTATGGCTGCGTGAGTTGGTGTGCAGGGATAAGGGTGGTGGTAGGAGGGACGCTTGTTGGCGGTCGATGAAGTCGTTGGTGTGGTGGGTGGGGGTTGAGTAGTCGGAGTCTGTGAGGAGGAATGTGGCGTCTAGGCGGGATGTGCTTCGTTGGGAGGGGTGGGTGCGGTCGCGGTCGCGGGAACGGGGGCGGGGGCGGGTGTTGGCGTGGGAGTTTGGGAGAGGGGGGAGGGCGAGGGAGTCTAGGCGGGGTGGGGAGTAGGTGTCGTTCCTGTTGATGTTGGTGATGTGGTTGTTGTTGTTGACTTGATCCCGAGCTGCCCTTGGTCCGAACGTCTCGCCTTGTAATCGCGGTTTGCGGTCGTGGAATTCATCCTGGATAACCTTTTCGTTCTCGCGGCGCCGTTCGAATTCTTGCCTGAAATGCACGCCTGCGTTGTGCGAGAGAGACAGGTTATTAATCTTCTCGCCGAGCCGACGAATGTCGTTTTGCATCAACGTTGCGCCGTCAAGATTATGCGAAACCGCAGTCGGAGGCGGCGGCGGAAGAGCGTGTTGAGGCGGTGGACTGGGGAAATTATGCGCGGATATCTCTGCACGTCGTGCTTCTTGGTGATCATGGTGGTTCGTACGCTCGTTCGCGTTGGTTGATGTGGCCTCGAGTTCTACGGGTGCGGACTGCGCGGGCATGGGGTCCCAGGCGCGCTGCCAGCACCAGGATCGTTGTTGACGGGCTTCTAGGTGCTCGATCTGGCCGTTGCTTACCCACTCGGGCATGCGCTTTAGATCGGTGTTGAGGAAGGAGCGGACGCCGTCGGTGTGTCTGAGACCCTGGACATCGACTGATAGGGTTGAGAGGACTTGTAGTATGCCGTAGAGGAGGACCCAGCGTCCGAGACGGGCTTCGCGTGGTGACATGTGTTTCAGGTCGGTGGTGAGCTCAAACTGTTCAAACTTGTCGATAAGTGTGGATCCTAGCAAATGTCAGTGCGTGTCATCAAATTGCAGTCGTGTATCAATTACCATTGAAGTTGACATCTAGCTTCTCAATGTTCGTTGCATCGCTGAAGATAATGGAGAGCTGCAGCTGTGCCTTCGCGTCTTTCGTAGCATCCTTGGGTTTGTCCTTCTTCAACGACGAAAAGAAGCTTTTCTTCTCCTTGTCTTTACTTGTCTTTGGCACTTCTCTCGGAAGTAACGGGTACGGATGCGGGATATGCGCATACCCATTCTTCGCATCGTAGGTGACCAGCATATCTGTCATCCCCAGCTCTGGCAGGTCTGCCTTGAAGCTGTCGTTCTTCCTATGGGCCATTTCCCACTTACGGGAGGCCCGCTCCTCTCGAGGATTCCATATCACCTCCCTATCGACGAAGTAATCATACAGCGAACCAAAGTCTTCTTGCATGGCATTTACAACCTTGCGATTAAGCCATGTCTTGTCGGAGTTCGGCGGCCAGTTACCGTAGATGCGTGTGAAATGCCCGATAAGGAACTGGCGAAACGATTGATAGCTTTGGTAGACTGGGCTGTTCGCGGTCTTCAACTTGTCCTCCCAAAGATCACCAAAATCAAATGTGGACAGCTTCTCCTCGGCTTCCATGACGCGCAACTGCAGTGTCTTGGCAGCCAACCCAAGGTTCCGCCTTGTGACTACTGACAGTCGCTTGAAATCTGGATGATCCTCAATTTCCTGCGTCATGACACCAGCCAGGTGAACAAAGCTTTCGAGGTAGCCCTGTCGCCATTTTACACTATCCTGTTCTGCCCAAGCCAGAAGCCCAAGAGCTCGTCGGATGTTGTTGCGCAGGTCGTCAATTCCATACCGGCCGAGATATTCCACTATCATCTGCACGCTTCGTTCCCTGGCTGTCATTCCAGATCGTGTGTCCGTGTCGAGATCGTACATGACGTGTATTTGAGGTTGCAGCGTACTTAGCATATCGTACACATCTGACCCAACTATGGGCTTGCCATGCAGCATGGCCAAGAAATTACGAATAGCAACATGATGTAGTCTTTGTGCCTGTGGTGCCTTCACGTTGTCAGGCGCAGTAAACCAGATCTCATGGGTTGGATTGCGTTGGAAGCCCTGCTGGAAAGGAGGCGGGGAGTTAGGTTGGCGTCCATGAGAGGCCTCGGATGGATGGTAAGCCCTAGAAGTAGCCCGAGAATCTATACTGGTATTTGACTGATCGATATCGAAGGGCGGTGGAGACCGTCCACCGGGTGATGTGGGTCCCAGCATTCGTCGTTGTGCTGGCTGTGGGAAATTCGGCGAGAAAGGTTGAGATGGTGAACTTGCATTTTCCGAGAGAGCCCAGTCATCCACGTCGTTATCATCGATGAGACTATACAGCAGTGCATTGCTTAGCCAGGTGGATCCCGAGTTTTGGAGGACATCTAAATCTGCCCGAATGGAGGGGATTGGGTGGTCCTCGTCTACTTCCTCTTTGAAGTATATGAGTACACTGCCGTGTTGCATATCTTCGTCATAGCTAAACCCGGCGTATGGACGCATTTCTTCTCTTCCGTCGGTCCATATCTTGAAGTTCAACCATGTTTTCTGGTCAGGCGGAAGAGCGTAGGAACCCGCTGACGACTCAGATCTGAAGACGGGAGGGCCAGGTGACGGCGCGACGGTCTTCTTGATCGGCACGCCTCCACCTCTACCACGAGGCGCCTTTGTGTCTTTTCCCTTTGCCTGATATTTTATCTTCTCTTTGCCTTTCGAAGATGTGTCAGAGACTGACTCTGCCTTCGATGATTTCGTTGGCGGAGGTCGGGATCCAGAGGAGACGTCGGACGGAAGGGTGGCTAGTCGCGGCCTGCTACCATTTCCGCCATCGTGCGTTGAACTACTTCGAGATGTCGTATGGCTGTTGTTGCTGGATACTGTGAAGGAGCGTGTTATGCCACTTCTCGGATTGCTGGGGTTTGGTGATGGGCGCCATTCCGCAAATCCATCTCGGCTTTCTTGTGTGGCTTCTGGCACCTTTCCTTTTACAGCAATTTTCTTTTCCTTTTTCTCAACTTCTTTCTGTTGTACCTTGCGACTACGAGCGCCTCGTGCGGACATGTCCTCTTGAAGTCAATAGCAATATTTCGATCGGCGACAGGCTGGATGACTTGTTCAGACAATGTCGCTTGATATCTCCAATACACCCAAGATTCTATCAGTTCCTGGCATGGGCTTCGAAAGATTAAGAGATACGTCGGGAGGCAGTGGAAATTGGCTTGGAGTATGCTGGGGTTCGCTCCCTCGTATATTCGGATGAATGCTATTTTTGCCGCGTGAATCCAGACACGGAAAGAACGAGATGCGCCGGCTGAGAACGTGGTCGTACTTGATTAGAAAATGACGGCTGAAAGAGTGTGCAATGACATCAAAATGTACGGAATCGAATTGGCAAGAAATTCCACACGCGCGTAGAAAAACGCGAGGGGTAAAAAGGGTGACAGCTATGCGGTACGGAGTTGTATATATTGAACCTATTCTCGAAAACCCATGTCCGCTCGTCCCGCCGTACAGGATGTGGAGCACAGGGCAGTAAGCAGTGATCGAAAGCGGTCTGGCTGCTGATAAGGAACGCATCCTACCGAGTTGCTGCAGGTTAATCCGCGAAGCGAACAGCCCAGCACAATGGCAGTCCCTATTGCGGACGAGGTGCATCGTGCGTGTGGAGAGACCAATAGCGACCCCAGTGTAATGGCTTGGATGGCAGTCAATGGCAGTCTGTGATAAGTCCGGCTGATTCTTGTGCTTCTGGGCGGTCAGCACATCCCATCACCATGCAGCAGGAAATGAAAAACAATCCTTAGGCGCAGGCGAGGATGCAAAGGAAGAGCGGCACAGGCGAGCGGCGTGAGATTTGAACGTCTAGGTGGTCCGCGGTGCTGCTCCATAACGTCCGGATTCACGCAAGGTATCCCTTGTGTTTGGGGCGCTCGGCCCACGGCGCTGGGTGATGAGCGCAAAGACGTTTGGTCGGGTCGAATCTCAGGTGATTGCTGGCTGTCAACGGCCGCTTGCTCGGCGGTTCTGCCCAGCATCCACGAATAACGTCGACGCCCATGTGCCGTCTAGGCTGAGGGAAGCGGGTTGGGCGCCGACAGCTGTCTAGGCCCACTCTCAGCTGCGGCGTGTGTTGTTGTGGTTCCACGCGAAGCAACTAACGCGCATTGAGCAGCGAGCAGCGAAAATCAAAGCATGGCAGGATGCGAACACATTCTAGTACTCCGGCGTAGTTTGAAAGCGTGTTCTACCGCCGGCGCATGGCGTGTTTGAGGTGTCGTCGTAGGATGCGGTGTTTTGGTGTTGTGGTTGGCTCGAAATGAGGAAGGCACGATCCAGCCACACAGTACCAGCCTCCCCCGCCTTCACCAATACCCACCACCCGAGCAGACATCCCACTTTAAAGTATACATCCCGGTTTCCGTCGACTATACGTCACTCCGCAACACCGCGACCGTTCTGCAACCCGATCGCAAAGCAAGACGCATCCTGGTCTGTTGTCGCTGCAGGATCTTAAAAGCGCGCTGCCCTGCATTTCCTCAGCGCCTTGTCGTCGTCTTGCATCTCTCACTTGGTCGCATCGCACCTGCTCAGTTACACGGCATCAACCAACCGTGGTTCAGCTGACAGCCCCGACCAAAGCAAACTCGTCTTCCCACGAAGCATCTGCGGTTCCTGTCAACTGCCATCATGTCGTTCTCCGGACTATCCTTCATCTTTTGGCGCATCTTCCAGATCATCACCCTCATACCTGCGCTGGGTATGCTGGCGTGGTTCGTCGATTGGTACAACAGCCGCAACCTGCTCACACCCACGTCCATCCTCGTCCTCTTCATCGTATCCGTCCTCGGCGCAGTATGGGCTCTAGGCACCCTCTTCCTCTACACGCGCGCAAAGCACTCGGCCAAGTTCGTTGCCTTTATCGACCTTCTCTTCATGGGCGCCTTCATCGGAGCCGTCTACGCTCTTCGCGGCATTGCCGATGCTGATTGCACCAACTTCAGCAGGCGTGGCGCTTACAGCGCCGACTTGGGTATTGCTACTATCAGTGGAACTGGATTCGGAGTCGACACCAACCGCCAATGCGCCATGCTCAAGGCCTCGTGGGCGTTCGGTATCATGTAAGTTCTACTTTTCGAAATTGAAACCACCCCCAAAGCTAATCTCTGTGCAGGAACATCATCTTCTTCTTCATCACGTCCATCCTGGCCCTCCTTGTGCACCGCCACCACCGCAACGACCGTGACCGTGTCGTCGTTAAGCGCGAAGTCCACCGATCGCGTCACGGCCACCACTCCCGCAGCCCCCGCGCGAGCCACAGCCGGAGCCGCCGCAGCTACGTCTAAGAAGAAGACGAGAGATGCATGATGAGGATCATCACGGGTACTGGAGTTGGGGTTTGGGACACATCTGGCAAAAGGCCATGGTCAGATCTTTACGAATTTCTTTGGACATATTCCCCCTTTGATGTTTGGTAATTGGGACGCTGGGATGCAAGCAACGTGGTCACGAAGTTTGCTACGAGGATACATCCTGGGATGTTATGTAGATTAGCACGAATTTTGTAGATAATTGCTTCATTTTGGCCTTTGGTCGCGAGCGAATCCATGCTCTGAACTACAGCGAAATGAAATGTCAACAACCACGTCCAACAACGATGTTTAGCTCACAACAACAATTTTGCCGCCCAATGTGCGATGAGAAGCAGGCTGACCATGTTGTGCAGTCTCTTGTGCCAGGATGTCCGCTGTTCACTGTTGGTGACGTTGAGTCGCATCGCCTTGGTTCTTGCACCCCTCCAGTCCAGCCCTCGTGTCAGCGCACTAACGCATTCGACCAATTCCTGTCCGTCAAACACGAAATACATGGTAATTGGGTTTGATATTTCTACAGATGCGTCGCGCGTTACTCCATGCAAGCCCTCATATATGCAATCCCGCCCCCTCATGATACTGGTACAATGCAGTCTTACAGTCCATAACCACCCCGTCTCTCTACCACACCCTGCACAGCGCCATGCCACCCAACTGCCGCTCCGCACATTCCCTCGCCTCCAATATCCCCCGATCCGTCGTGACAAACATGCACTCTCCCGGCCTCGTCAAACCCTTCACATAGCTCGACTCTCTTGTCCGCGTAATCTTAGCCAGATCCTCGCTCGTCAGCCATATCCTCCGTGTGGGCTTGGATATCAACTTCATATTCTTCAGGACAGGCTCGTTCTGCCAGTACTTCAGGCCGAGCCATAACCGTCTCCGCGCGGGGTTCTGGGGTACGTGTATGTCGTGGACTTGTTCTGCGCCGAGGGGGGACTTTTGTTTTGTGCCGGCGGGGGCGTCGACGGGGTAGGCGAGCCAGGGCTCTTCTGCGAGCTTCTGGGCCATTTGCTCGTGTTGCTCGGGGTCTTGCTGCGTTTGGAGCAGGAAGGGCTTGGGTGGTGTGGGCCCGCCGAGGGTCACGGAGGAGAGGAAGCCTTCGCGCTGGAGGCCGAGTGCGATGTTGACGTGCATCTTGGAGACGGGTATTGACGTCAGTCCGAGCCGGGCTTTGGACGCATTCTGCATGTGCGAGCAGACGTGGGCGAGGTTGACGAGAGACATGTTGGCGGGTGTAGACGTGGGAATTTGCCCTCGCTGGGCTGCGGCGGTGGGCGAGCGCGATGCGTGTGGGCGACAGTATGTCCAGTGTATGTGTTCCAGTTGACGGCGAGGCTCAATGCAGGGTGATGGCTCAATTGCGCGTCGTCGGCGGCGGATGCTCGTGCTCGACGATGCTCGATGCAGCAAATTTCTGGATTGGCTCGGAGGTCCGCAAGTCACGGGTGGAGCAGAGCTGCCCGCTGCCCATTCGGCAGAGCTTGGGCCGGCGCCTACTAAACAAGACACTACCGCGGGCGCTTCGAGCACGACGCAAATAGAAGAACGCGCAGCTGTTGGCTGCACCCGTGGGGAGCTGAGATGACAGCCTTGCGACCCTATATATGTCTTTGTTCTGTTGATGCTGCTGCGAGCGTGCTAACTTCCGTCTTACTTCACTACAGCTGACCTCATAACCCACACCTTGGCTGAAGCATATCTTGGACGCCTGATAGACTGCCATCTTACACTAACACCATGCCTCCGCAGCAGGGAGAAGTGTCTCTCTTGACGCTGTGAGTAGTGGTAGCTTGGGGCATCTTGATCTTATACTGACTGTGATTAGCTTTGCAGACGTCCACTACTACATCTCCCCGCCTACCCAGGTTCCCCCGCACCACCGCTTCGACAAGAGCTCCTATGTCTACCTCTACCACAACCCTATGCGTCAGAGTGGGCGCATAGAAGTCGCGAACCATGCGGGCACTCCCAACCAGGATGCCTTTTCAGGCCGTGAGTGCTGACACATTTCCCTATCACACACGAGCTGACATGCTGTATAGAGCTGGACACAGTCAAGATCGAGCACACATACAAACACCCATGTCTGTTCACCCTCACGGTCGACGCGTTCAGGAGTCACAATGGCAGCGCGAGCCCCCACCAAGACACGTCGCAATGGCACCTCCCCACACCCGATCCCTCGAACCAAGGCAAATACATGTACAGGCTGCACACGGTGGACTTGTACTTCTGGACGCCAGAAGACGCGAGCCTCTTCCTCGACTCCATCCGCAGGGTGCTGCAGCCACATCAAATGCAGATTGTGCGCAACCCCAATGCCACACCAACACACTCGGAACACAAGAATGATGCCCTGAGCCCAGTGATCGCAAGGTTGGAGAGCGCAGCCATATCACACACAAGTCGCACCCCGAGTGTCAGCACAACCCAGTCGTTCCCCGGCCCTCCCACAGCACCTGCCCCTACATCACCTCCTCCCAGCGAGCAGCCACCCAACTACGCTCCAATGGCATACAACCCGGCTGCTCCAGCCGCGCCTGAGCCAATTGCTCATCGCGAGAAGACACCACCTCCACCAGACGCCAATGATGGCACGGGACTTGGATCTGCTGCAGTCCACGATCAGCATGCAGCGCAATACGGCAACCCGCTACAAGCTTCGTTCGCGCCTCAACCGACATCAGGGGCATACTTCCCAGGACCACCAGCGCCTGGCCAGGGCTTCACAGGCCCACCGAGTGCATCGCAAAGTCCGCCATCCTTCGCACCCCCTCCGTCTGCCCCTCCACCAGGCCAATACAACGGCACCCCACCACCCCCAGCCATGAAGCGAACCTCCACAGCACCAGTCCACCAATACGCCAACTACCCATCCTCGCCTGGCTTCCCTCCTGCCCCCCAATCTCCTCCCGTGCACTCTGCATTACCATCTCCCGGCTTCCCTCCCCAGCAATACCAGCCAATGGCTTCCCCTGGCTTCGCGCAATACCAGTACGGTAGCACGGGAACCCCACCACAGGGACAGAACCTGCATCAGCAGCTGTACAGACCGACGGAGAACGAAGCCGCAGTGCAAGACCACGAGAATCCTAATGCACCGCAACGCAACTCCAACATCGGAAAGCGGGTAGATAAAGTGGAGAAGGGGATTGGCAGTTTCTTGAAAAAGTTGGACAAGAAGTTTTAGTCTATCATGTCATTGAAAGCGCACCCAGGTTCTTGTATCTATTGTATTCATCTTGGAGTTGAATTAGCCAGCGTCGATACTATTTACTCAAAAAATATACTGTATACCATTCTTGAAATATGTAACAGCATGCAGCCGTTATTGCGACCAGCGTTTGTCTTGTCTATGCCACGGCGCTGTAGATCAAACATGTGAATGCGATCATCCTGCAGTAGGAGCGCCAATCAGGAGCCGGCGCTAGTGTGGACCTTGAATCTGGGAGATGGCGCCTAAGAATAGCAGCAGGTTTTGGAGATGACATGAGGCTTGCTTTTGGCGTCTGCCGCTGGCTGATTGTCATCTTGCATAATGCATAACTGTTGAGGATGCGATTGTAGTAGGATAACGTGTGTTAGCACTTTGGCTATCAAACCTTTAACATTCCATCTTCCTCTTTCGTCGTGCCACAGCCCCTGGTCACAGCTCCATCATCCCGGCAACCGCATCAACACTCAGCCAGGTTGCCAAGACCAACTTCCGGGCGCAGACCTAGCCAGACCATTACTCGCGGCTCTCCCCCATTGTTGTTCGGCCATTCCGTAGTCGCCAAACTATACACCCATTAACCCCCAATATCCTAACCGCATCCACGACATCGCTTCCCGCCGCTTGTTCTTAACGTTTTGCCTTAACCTTCGCACGACACAACGGTTCGACAGCTCCCTAGTGCCAAACAGAACCAATAAGGCGGGCCTTTGGCAGCCTGGGCGATCCACACTTCTCCAAACAAGTGATCTCATTGTGAAAACAAGACTCCGGTGACAGGCTCTGGTTGACGCATTTGACGTTTGGACGGGCCCGGTGCATGGTTGTTTGGGTGCCATTGCCATGTTGTTACCCGCGCGGCATGCAAGGGACGGCGCCCTCGAGAGGAGAGAAGTCTCCAAGCAGGGCAGGACCTTTGTCGTAGTAAGTTTACGCCATCGCTCTACCACACTCTACCACGCACTGGCTAACCCTGCATTCCCCAGGTCGGAATCATCGCCGTCGCCATCTTCGCCATCCTCATAATCACATACTTCTCAACCCTCAAGTTCCGCGCCCCGTACCGCGCCGCAAAGAAAGCACAACAGTCGTCCGCCGACAAACTCCCCTCGTTATTCTCGTGGAAAGCGTTCCGCAAGCGCCCGCGCCGAAATGACTACTCGACCAGTCTGCAGGATACCGAGTACCGGGGGAGCACAAGCAGGGCGAGTGGTGAGATGAGCGGAGCAGCAGCAGGAGATCCGGAAAGGCAGATAAACAGCTCGACCGGTGCCGGCGTCGACCGAAACACCTCCGTCCGCAGCGTCATGACCCTCCCCGCCTACTCGTCCGCCGCACGAGAGAACGAGCGCGTCCTCGCCCGCGAAGGCGAACGCGGCGGCGTAGACACAGTCCTCGAGCTCCCCGAAACCATCGACGAAGAAGAGCGCCAACGGGAAGAAGAAATGGAATCCCTCTATCAAATCCGGCTCGCCCGCCGCATCGAAGCCACCGACCGCGAAGCCCGGCGTCAAGCCCGACGAGAAGCCCGGGCTCGCGGCGACGTCCAAGCCCTAGCTGATATACGGCGCCGCGCAGAAGAAGCAGCCGACCTCTCCGTCTCCCAGATGCTCATCGCAGAGCACCAAGCCCGGACCCGGTCGAGAGACAGACGCGTGAGCGCTGTTGCATATGGCGACTTGGGCGTCGCGCGCCACGACGGCACACGCCTCCGAGCCAACTCCTCCGAAAGCGACAACAGACCCCTCCTCGACTCCGCCGCCTCTTTCTCCGGCCAATCCCGCGGCCGCGACGCCCACGCCCGCGGCCTCTCCGTCACATCTCTCACACAATCCGTTGAATCCCGCGGATCAGACGATTACGACTTTGCGGATGCGTCGCGCTCGAATTCACATTCTACTGCTGGGCCTAGTCCTAGTCCGCATGCTGAGGGCTTTGAGGTTGTGAGTTTGAATCCGGAGAGGAGTTATAGTGGGAGTGGAAATGGAGTTGGGAGTGGAAGCAATGGTGGGCCGGTACCAGGGGAAGACGCGCCTGCGTATGAAGATCCTCCGAACTACGAAAGTCCGATTAATACGAGGGCGCCGCAGTTACCGGCGTTGAATCTGAATTTAGAGCGCTTGCCTAGTATACGCGTTACGACGGGTGAGACGCCGGTGGAGGGCAGGGTGGGGTCGCCGTTGAGGTAATAAAAAAAGACCTTTTTATTCGCAAATTTCACGGCTATGCTACTATCTTTGTACACAAATGTACTTTGGTACCCCCGCGCTCTTCGAGTCATTCTTCGGAATCAGTCGTTCCATTATTTTTTTTGTCGTCAACGAAATTTCATGAAAACCGTTCGCTGTTGCATTTCAGAGGTTGGTATGGCGTGGCGTCAATATGGGAAGGCGCTTTAGGGACAGGAGCATGTATACATAGATAGGAGGGTGCTCGGGCTGGTCAATGTTTAATCATATTATGTCACAAGTGGGAGTGTTGTTTAGGTTTCCTGTTTATGGGGTTGAGGCCGTGGGAGAGATGAAAATGGAAAGCTTACGTGCACATGGAAAGGATCTCATAGGTCTTTCACTACGGGCGGTTCTTGCATTGGGAGAAGGGGCCCGACCGGTGTACTCGATTGCGTTTCTTCTGGTTCTATATACGACCCCGGATTTTCTCTACACCACCGCTCTTCCGCCAATATCGATCCAGTCCTCCCGATAACTGGTATCAACCGCCAGTCTCGACGCCGCTACGAGTGTCATAGTAATTAACTACCACAAGCGACCACGAGCCTGAACTCCGCCCCTGCGTACATCACTGTCGTTTCATCACCTCAACGAAGCCGGCCCAACAGCATACAATATGTCCCTCCAGAAGCTATCGACGGAGCTTGATGGCCAAATCGCCAGCTGCCTCGTCGGCGACACTAAGGCTCTCAGCGCCTTCTCCAAGACGAACAAATACTACCGGGGCATTGCTGAGCCATATCTCTATACGAATATCGAAGTGTATGAATCTGACCTTGAAAGACCACTGCGACTGCTCTTCACGTTGTTAGACCGCAAGGAACTCGCCCTTCACATCAAGAGCTTGAGCTACATACCAGCCCAGCATTGGTCCTCTCACGACGCCGACATAAAGCCGCCGACGAGGAAGAAGCTCCAATATGATGTATGGAATTACACGCACGCGATACAAGAGGTGCTGGATGAAGTTCTCTCTCCAGGATGCGGGTTCTCGGAATTCCTCTCAGCGAAACTGACCTTGTATTGTGATATTCTGACGGCTCCCATGAATCACTATACAGCCAGCAATCAGATTTTCACGCTCATTCTGTTTATGGCGCAGAAGGTCCAGTATCTAGAACTTGGTTCCAAAGAACCACCTACACATGTGTTACGCCTTCTTTGGGCACCTTGGAGTGACGGCAAAGGCCCCTTTCAGAACGTTCAACATCTCGTCCACAACGCCGGTCTTTCTCTGATGCCTTCCATCGTGGTATTGCCAACCCTACGAACATTAGAGTACAACGTCGGGTATTTCGACGTCGAAGCACGAGCGACTTCATCCATGTTCGCTTATCCATCCCCTATGCCTGCGCAACCCGTCCTCCGCCGAGTTCAATTTACGACAACCAGAAACATCACTCCTACTATAATCCAGAACATGGTCAGCAACCCAGCAATGGCCAACCTCCGAGAACTCGTAGTCGATGACTGCGGACGCAGCAGACGCAATCTGCCTCTCGCTTTGCGTGGCGACAACCTAGCCGAACTCCTGCGAAGCCTAGAGAAACACACCCCACTCCTAGAACTACTCCAGTGGTCAAATCAGAAGTCTGACCGACAAGAAGGCCACCCACGTTTCGACACGTTCAAAGATCTCACAAATCTCCGCCAGTTACACATCGACTTCGACCTCCTCGTCCCCAAAAGCGACACCAACTCCACCAACTTGAAGTGTCTCTCCAATCCTCACGCCGTCTTCCCCGCGAGCTTGGAAGATCTGACGTTGGACTGCGTCGATATCGACAAGCTCCACCATCTCATCACCACTCTCCACAACACCATTGAAGAAAGCGATGAGATGAGCGAAACTGAAGCACTCCAAATCTGCCTCGCATCTCTAGCCGCCATGTTCCCTCCGCTCAAAAGCCTCGCTCTTGTTGTGATCATGGAGATGGATAACCCGAGGGAAGATACACCTCGCCTGCATGAGTTGGACCCGTCGGATGTCACGTTCTTCCGGTACGCTGCGGATGAGCTTGAGAAGCTGGGTGTTACACTCGAGGTGTGGCGCAAAGAAGGGTATTACGAGAAGGAGAAGAAGTTGCTGGTGAAGAAGGGGTGGACGGCGCCGTTGCCGCATTCGGTGGTGAAGGCTGTGCAGAAAAATGCTAGGGGTTGGCGGAATGGTTACGCTGATCTCCGCATTTACGCAGCATAGGTCGGGATGGTGATGGAGATGTAGTTGATTACTTGACTACCTCTGGAACATACATTGCCTTAAACATAGTTTAGTTGTCAACATATAATACACTGTATGCAGCAACCCACATTTTCTATTGCAGTGCCGTCTCACTTCAGGATCGCGCACGTGATAACGCGCTTCGCTCCTCCGCTCTTTCCTCTGATGCGCACTCACTCCCACTAGCGTCTTATCATCTCACGGTTGCCTGTCGCGCCCATCCCGATCCTCTCATTCTCTCACAGCCACAGACACCTGTCGCATCCTACGACACTGAGCCGCCACCATGGTAGCGTCTTCATCGAATAACGCATGAGAGCCCGCCTCAGATCTGGAATATGATACTGTCACTTCCTAATCTCCGTACGATTGAGATCGTTGGTGAGTACTCCGAAGATCGGAGAGGTCCGCCTACAGCTCTAGGCCTCCTCCTGGAACCGGCGGCAATCAAAGTACAGAATGTACGTCTGAGAGGATACGTTCCCGTGGAGTTTGTTTCGGCCATCTGTAGGGCTTCAGCGTCTACTATCGTCAGTCTCGATCTCGGCCTTCTCGATAAACCAGAGTTCTTCAGAGGCCACGAATTGGAGCTGTCGGAGTATGGAGAGACTATATGTCCGGTCTACATTGGTCCCCGAGGTGGCCTATGGCATGACGCGGCATGGCATGAATTCGCCTCGCTTACTCATTTGCTACTTTGTAAGCCTGTTTGGTTCAATGGATTCCGCAAGAGACCCAATGATCTTGACTACGAAGCCCCTCAACTGCAACAATGGGCGTCTCTCCTGCGGTCTATTCGTCTCACCGCGGTAGAGATCGTACTGGAACACCGAAAGATATTCGTCGACCGCCATGACGAGGTCGATGAGCACATCAAAGCGGATGAAGACGTCAAATGCCCCCCTGATATCCGATTTCGTCATCGGGTGGTGGAGCAAGCTTTCACCGAACCATGGCCAAATCTCAAGACCTTGACCTTCCGTGGCATGAGCTCCGCTAAAGGCGACTACTGGCCTAAAGCAGGACCGGATGAATCCCTAAAAGACTATTCAAGGAAGCTGTTACCAGGAGTTCAGGTGAACCAGATCCTAGGCAACTACATGTTCTTCAACACTGAACGTGGCACAATTCTCAACCAACATGGCGCCGACGGACTGAAAGTGCATCTCGAGTTCGACGGAAAACACGATCTTGAGGCTCTCTACGACAGTGACAACTTCACTGATGAGGGCGATTGGGAGTGGAGGAGAACTTCATTAGACTACTTGCACCACCTTTCAACGCGCGGATAGAGATAATCTGTATCACTTTGCTGCATACACAGAGTCCTACAGGCACATATAAGTAGTCTAGAAGACAATGTATACCCCAAGTCCCAATATGCAGTTTAGTTTCTCCAATACAAGCGTCCATGTAGGCGGCAAGCGACACGATCTCTCTGACCACGAACCCTATTCATGTAGACGTTAGTACCAGAACAAAAATCCCCTGATTACATCATCGATCTAGCATGCATTCCAATTAACAAAGGCTCCTCAATAGACCACCACGTACCCACAAAAGACCAGCACAAGCATAGTGAAAGTGAGAGCAACACAGCACTTGCCGCTTCCGAGCGACCGTCAATGCGTTCCGCCGGCATCGCTCCGTATTCAGAAAAAAAGTGACCGAATGAATCACGTGCTAGCTAGTCCTGACGCTGGGTCTGGTCTACCAGCAATACCACAGCCTCTGGAACCCACCTCTACCCATCCACTGCCACTCTCAACAATTCGATCGCGAATTCGCGAGCTTTCGAGAGTCTTCAAGCAACAACGTCTCGCCATACCCACGGCTGGCAGTTATACTGTTATGTCTCAGCTACCGTCCACGCCTGCGACGCTACCGCGCCCACCGAAGCGCGCGCACGAAGAGGAATTAGTTGGGCCGATCAAGCGACAACGCAAACATGGACTTTGGACGCCGCCTGAAGATTCCAGCGACGTCCACGATTGCTACACCCAAACACCCTCGCTTTACATTCCACGACAAGCATCGTCATCTCTTATCCATCCTCCCTACTTAAGCCCGCCGCATAGTCATCCATCAGTCCCACTAAACCCACGGGGAGTTAACTCAGGATATACGCCTTCCCAGGGCGGCTTATATACTCCCAAATTAGGGTATATACACAACGACAACCAGCATTATGGTGTCAGCCCTCCGTCACGGCCTCCGACAACTCCACAGATGGGGTTTGGGAATCTGTATCAAGTCTACGGGCCGAACTTGAACCGACACCCTGCTCGAGTGGTACAGGCTGAGTATGCGTGGGGACTACATCGACCCCAGACTGCGCGCAGGTACGAACGACAACAAGCCACGCTGCCTACAACAGTTCAACAGTCTGCACCAAGGCTACAGCCTGAGTGTGCGCCGAGACTTCGTGTACCCCAGACTACGCCTAGTCATGGGTCAACTGGCCCCATGGCACCTACAATGCCTGCAGAGGATCCGCGTCCGCAAGAGCAGCAACGATATGTTCAGCCAGTCGTTGGTACACAAAAACCATACCAATACAGTGCTACTCCAGTCGCAAGCAGACAGTGTGCTTCTCACCAGACGGGTGTAGAAGGACTTCATTGCGGTATCCAAGCTCCCGCTGTGAATGTGCAGGCCGCGCGAACGACGCCGCGCACTCAGCAAGAGCAGTGGCTCATCGATGCACGACCAGATCTCCAAGGGATACCTGTTACGATCGTACCAGCGATTCCCGCGAAGCAAGGTACTATCGGAACTGCCATTGACCGCAAAGATGAGATGCTAGTACCACGCGATGTGTGGCGCCTGCGCTCCCTGCCTTCCTACAAGCGTTATATCGCATACCGCCAAATGGCAGAGCTAGGACGTCAGATGAGCGAGTATGACCAAACTAGCAAAGAAAACCAGTCGCTATGGAAGCGTATCACAACCTTCGAAGCGAGCTTGATTGAGGCCGAGGTGGAGTTTGCGAACAGACTCAAGCAAGATACAGCTGAAACTAGGGCGAGGTGGGACCGGATCGTAGCGGCTCAGGCAGTTGGGACTCTAGTCGACCAGGATATGATAGCTGCCTATGACCAGTATTGCGGTATTGCATCTGGGACGTCCCCGATGGATGTCGCAGTCACGACTCAATCACCCACATCTGATCAAGTTCTAGCAGGGCAGAATTCACCACCACAGCCCCAGACTCCTAGAACTCCTGCTCCAATCGTAACTCCGTCAGTACCGATAGAGACCATTAGACCAGACCAGGTAACACATCCCCTGGACAAGGTTTCGGTTCCTCCACACCCCGGCGAGCTCGAGGACTTCACGCCACACGAAGTCACCGGAATGTACAAATGCAACCACCAATTTGAAACCGGGGCCTGCTGCACAGAAGGAGTCACAAAGGAAAGAAAGAGAGCCTCAATCTCTAGGGATAAATCAGCGTGGAAACGAAAGGTGGAAAAATTGGTCAAGAAGGGCGACTTGAATAAGAGCCATATAACATGGAAGACAGAACTGTCATCCAATAAGAAGGAAGACCCAAAGACGAAGAATGCGGAAAAAGGGCGACCACAGAGTGAAAAGAAGGCGGATGCCACCGCGAAGAAAGAAGCGAGAAAGGAACAGAGGAAAAAATGGCGCGAGCAACCACACGATGAGATCGATGCGGAAGGTGCGCCCGGATCTATCGTGGCACCAAATCCGCTTGAACAGGACGATTTGTTTACTTCTAAAGTTGAGTCTAAGCGTTCTTCAGAAGAACAGGCTGCGGCCGCTGAGTCCGCACGCCAAGAAAAAATCGCAAAAGACTTGAAGAAGTACGGGTGGGATCTCAAGCGCTGTAAGCGTATGGAGGATATGAAGAAGTGGCCAACTTGGTCACGCTTCAATGAATATTGGGCTGCAAAACGTCTTGAGGTTCAGCAATTGCAGCTATCCCCTGAACAGCACACTCTATTGCAGGGCTGGGAACCGTCTGCCATTCCAGACAAGAACCCAGCATTTGTCAAGAAACTTGCCGAAGATACGGTACACGTAGACGCGGGAGAGAGTGCTGAAGTCGATGATTCAAACTTGGACGAACTTTTTGAAGATGGGAACGAGAATGTCGAGCAAGATGATCCAGTATTGGATGATCTGTTTGAGGACGGTAGCTTAGAGTTGTAAGAGGCACTTCAGAACCAAGTGTATCTCTCAAGAGCGGCTTCGGCCAAGGTGGAGGGTCGTTACGACAAGGTCTGACAAGGCCCCAGCAATGACCTTGATAATCAGGAACGACGTCGCATAGATGACAGAATGAAAGCCACCACGCGCATGCAACGTCGCCCGTCATTGCTGGCCTGAAAAACAATGTCCTCGCATCGTGAAGTGGAAGCTGAAGTATGACTTCATCGTATCGGTGTCTTTCTCACAGCGCTCTTGAAAGGCCCGTGCAATGAATCGCATTGTGCAGGCCCATGCTCAGCACCAACTTCGTGACGTTCTCTCGTCTGAACGATGCCGTTGTACTTGGTGCGTGCACGACGTCACGAAAGGAGAACCTAGTTGTAGTTCTCTTCACTCTGGGAAGAATGCACAGATCCTGGAACCTAGATAGTCAGTCCAGTACTTTTATACAGACCGTTGGGTCACATTTACCAGTAGACACCCCCGTCTACCTGCCCATCCAGAAAGTCTTGTTACTCTTATAGCAAGATGCAGTCTTACGCGCACAACAAGGGCAACTACGTCTACGTGCGCCGCAAGCGCACAAGATCGGTCGAGGTGCGCCGCGCAGACGATCTCCACCGCCACTCCATATCCTGTTTATCATCCGAGGAACGCATCTTGCATTACGTCGGCGGGGAGCGTAACCGCGTCTGCCGCTGCCATGATGCGGGTCGACATGGCGAGAAGACCTCCACCGTAGCATGCGAATCGAGGCATCTGAGCGCCAGCATAATGTTATATCTCGACCGCCATGGCCTTGAATCCTGCAGCTTCGCTGACTTCCGGAAGTATCGCGCAAGCCGACAAGCGAAATGGGCGATGGAAGGCGTATTTGTTGAAGACTTTCACTATACCAGCCGGAACAAAGACTTCGTATGTCGCTGCTCACAACCAAGGAAGCATAGCTATCAGACGCCGCGCCATCCTGAGACTGTCGAGCAATGTGCGGAGTTCTTTTGTATGCACAAGGATAAGAACACTGTTACGAAAGACCAGTGGAAGGGCGTGAATGGCGATGAGCCCCCGGCTTACACACCTAGTGTAGACTTGCTATCCGGTTCCATGACATCCATGTCTGTAACGTCCAGTTCCGTGCCTGATTCGCGGCCAAGCTCGTCCGGACACACTGGGGAGAAGTCTAGGCCACGAGCCTCGCTAGAGACGAGGATACGTGACACTGCCGAGCGTATATCTTCGATCATCCCAGGCCGTCATCGCAGTGCTTCGATTCCAGCACGAGAGCCAGAGATGCCCCCTCAAGTATGGCAGAAGGGTCGTCCATCGGTCTTGATCTCTCAACACGGAAATTCTTCGCGTGATAGCACGCCCATGGGCTCGGCTCCCCCATCTACGCGCTCAGCCTCACCAGCAGTGCCGCACACGCGCCATCATCGGGTCGATTCTGTTCATGATACGTCCTCGATCTATGCAGATGCCCAGGCCACGATGGGTATGTTTCCCGGAATCCAGACAGATGCAAGTGTTGCAAGGGCTAGAGAGATGCTGGGTGTGACTGGTCTGTACACGAACAAGACGTACCTTTCCACATCCACTAACTTATCTGTAGTGAGCGGGCAGTCCAGTGTTGGAACCATTAAGAGCGAAAGGTCGCCACCTTTTGCCTATGACGAATGGTACCAGGGCAACCCACCTCGCTGGGTGGTTGAGAAGGACAGCGAAGAGCTACTACCGTCGACTTTGTACGTGAACGGCGAAAGGGCGAATTCTTTCGGTTTCGATACGTCAGCGACTCATAGACCAGTGGCAGAACTTCCTGCGCGTAGATCGCCAATTGAACTTCCCGCTCGCAGGTCGCCTGTCGAACTTTCAGGTAAGCCACCACACCAACGGCATACTGCAACGCTAAAGAAGCTAGAAGGTCGAACTTGGGATACGAGGTCGGAGTTGGAGGCCAAGGCCAAACGCTTCAGCGTTCGGTGCACAGAAGCACCCCCTAGTACGTCCACTCCTGCACACGACACCGAACGACTAAGCTCACGTTTCCACAAGGCTTCCGACACCATCCCGTCTTCACTTCCTGATCAGGTGGATTTCCTTGAGCGTTGTGCTGTGCCGAATTCTTGGAAAGACCCTACACCTACTGGGAATTGTCAGTTGTGCTTCAAGTCTTACCATGACGCAGACACGAATCCTGTCATAGCACCTCCCTGCGGTTGCTCCATGCATGATCGATGTCTCATGGACAATCTGCGTACGCTTGATGAGAAGGTCGGCAGGTGTCCAGTATGCCAGGCGTATCTGTGTAACCGTAGTCTAGCCGAGCGCATCGGCAATGACATCGAACAGATCTTTGAGTTGCAAGTCAATCCATTACGAGAGGAGGTCACCCTCGAATTCCCACAGCGGAGTAAGGGCATCATATGTAGTACGGAGGAGGGCGTTGCTGTCACGCAGCTTCGTCTACTCAAGGACTACGTCGATGTCCACGCCGAAGAGCTCTTCCGTCTATGGGAAGGTAATCGTGCAGAACCCGACTGGTTTGGAGGCGTGGTGCGTCCCGCTATCCAACTCTTTCAAGGGTGGAATCCCGCTATGCGAAGCCGCTTCTTTTCAAATGAGGACGCTTTCCTTAAGCTCCTCGCATGGGCAGAGCTGGTGCGCTTGATGAACATCAGCTGTGCGAAGAAGAGACAGGCCCATGATAGCGATGCACATTTTCCGCGATTGGGAGAGTTACATCGCAAGTTTTTGAAGGCCGTTGAGCGATACAACAAAGAGAAAATGTCGTGGGATACGAGTCGCTCTGGTGTTTATGAACACGACAGGATCGCGACGGATATTGTCGAGGTCGCAATGAACACTCAGGTGCCGTAGACAATCGTATAACTTACTGCAAATGTAATTAGTTCGCATTCATCGAAGTACCATAAAGCCATGTATCGGAAAGTACATACGCGTCGTGGTCCAGTTAACAGCTGCACGATCTTGATCCCGACTGGTTTGCCCTGCGGCACGCATAACACATTCATGACGTGCCATTTGATTGATACCGACTCGACAGGACGTGCGGATATGATGATCTGTAGTATGATGGGTTGGTTGCGCCTCGGCATCGTCTGATGGCGTGATGGATGAAACAAGACGCGAGGCGAGGAGCTGATTGAGAGTGCGGCGGTCCGTGCACGGAAGTGCACCACCGCGTCAGGTGCAACGATTGTCCACACACATCGAGCTGTGTTCTGCCCAAGACCAATGCGATACAAGATGCCACGCCCAAGTTTACTTTCACTCGGTAGTGCTGTGCAGGAATTCTGTTTAGGCCTCATACTGAAGGGCAGAGTCATGACGTCATACCCACTTGTCCTCTCGGACTTCTCCTTCACACACGAACCTGAGCGCGTCGCTACTCCTACAACTTTCTTGCCTCCACGGTGGACGACCAATTTGTCCTGGAGCCACCTTCGTCAACGCTAGATGCGAGCGCACGCGTAACTTCATCCACATGAGTACCGGAGGCCCCTTGCCATATCACTCGTCCGCATAATAGAGCTGCAATGCTGTGCACTCAGCTTATGACCACCCGACTCTCAGCAGAGTGACGATGCACTCACAAGCATCAATCTCACATTGCCTTCGGCAGTCGTTCGTGAGAGCACTACATGGACCAATCTCGAGCTCGACCAAGCCTCCGGCTATTCTCCCAAGGACAAAAGGCACTGGCTATAGCACGGCCACCGTATACCCTGCCGGATTAATTACTTCCAAACGTCCGCCCGCTGAACGACTGACTCCCCGCACCATTTGCGCCTGCCGCATTGACAGAGCAGTCGCCTTTGCTGAAATTGGGAGCTAATTGCAGTACGCAATGTGACCGAAATGCTTAATTCGAAATGCCAGATGAAGGGTTCAAATACCGGTTGTCACCCGCATTGCGACAACACTATCCCAGTCAATTGAAACTTTGTTTCTTGTCATGATGTTTTACACATCACTTCTTTCGGTCGCGTTCGCAACGCTTTCTTTAGTTTCGCCCACTGTAAATGGGCGTGCGATTGACGCTGTTGAGAGGAGACAGGATGGATCGCATTGGATCAATACCTGGACGAGCATGCCGCAGTTGGTGGAAGCGAGCAACATGCCGCCAGCGCCTTTCGTATGCGATCTGCACTGCCTAAGGTTGAACTCCAGGAATTCTAACATGACCACAGAGTTCCGGGAGTGTGATGCGCGATGCGACGCTCCGCCAAACCCTCCACATGTCCGTTGGCGCACCCAAGATCAAGATCACCATTTCCAACACTTTTGGCGGTTCCGACCTTCCCATCACCGCAGGCTCTGTCGGCCTTCCTGCAGGTGGCGTAGCGGGCGTCAGTGGCATGCAAGCCTCACCTCTGGCAGCAATTACCGTTGGTGGCAAGTCAAGCTTCACGGTGCCCAAGGGCCAGGTCATTACCAGCGATGAGATCGCCTTCGAAGTCAAGCCTCAAAGCATGCTCACTGTGAGCTTGTACAGTCAGCAAGGGCAGAGTGGAAGCAGCATCACCGGTCATCCCGGCAGTAGGACTACGAGCTGGTTCGTGAGCGGCAACAAAGTCAATGCTACAACTTTCTCTGGCACTCAAAGTGTGCACTGGTACTTCGTCAGCGCCGTACAAGCCTACGTACCAACCTCCACGCGCTCTCTGATGGTCCTCGGTGACAGCATCACCGACGGGCGAGGTTCAGACGACAACAAGAACAACCGGTAAGCACTACCTAACCCCGCAAAACTACTTCCCGTCTAATGCCACCGCAGCTGGCCCGACCTCGTACTTGCCCGTCTCCAATCCACCAACCACACCAACATCGCCGTCTGCAACCAAGCCGCTGGCGGTAACACAGTCCTCAGCGGCGGCCTCGGCCCACCCCTCCTAACCCGGTACAAGCGCGATGCCATCGAGCAACCCGGTGTGAAATGGGTCATGGTCTTCGAAGGCGTCAACGACATCGGTGGTAACGCTAATACCGCTGCCGCGCAAACCTCTGTAGGCGACCGCCTCATTGCAGCGTTCAAGCAGATTGCTGCTGATGCGAAGACGGCTGGTTACACGACGATTGGGGGTACGATTGCGCCTTTTTCAGGTAATGGGTATGCAGGTGTTGAGAGGGAGAAGACGAGGAAGAGGGTGAACAAGTGGATCTTGGAGAGTGGGAACTATGATCATGCGGTTGATATTGCGAGTATGGTTGCGGATAAGACGAATCCGGAGAAGTTGGATAAGAGGTATGATAGTGGTGATGGGTTGCATCCGAGTGTTGCGGGGTATCAGGCGATTGCTGATGCTTTTCCTGTTGAGATCTTCAGGAAGTAGACGTTGATGGGAGAGAGCACTTAGCTTAGGATATGTTCCTCTTCAAGATAATAAGAAGCGATCACTGAAGCTAGTCACTGATATTCATTTGCAACAATTGAAATACGACTCGTTCGCCAATGATACCCGTTGTTGATCGTTCACCATCGACACCTTCTGTGTATGATTTGGACATATAACCACATCTGGACAGCGGCTCGCAACATCGTGTTCTATCGCGCGTTCTCCAATTCTGGCAGATATTGTGTGATATCCGTCGTGATGGGCTGCTTAAACCATTTGCCGTCAATTCTTCACCTGAGACTCCCGATACAGGCGTCTCTTCTCCATCCAATGTTGCATGTGAGGTAGCTCGTTTGCTTGTCCCTGCATATAGGCTTCTGATTCGTCTGAAGCCTCAAACTTGACCAAGGCAATCATGGAATCAATGGCACTGTGAAGTTCCTCGAACCCTTCACAACGCATACCACCTGTCCAATGGTAGTAGTTGAGTTGCGCAACAGGCTCAAGCTCTGGCTCTGTGGACGTTTCAATGTTTGGTGTCAGGCGATTCTCATAACGCCTTTTCCTCTCGAGATAATTAGCATCGGGTTTGACGGCGAGGTCCCGAGCACTTTGACCGTCGGCTCTTTTGGCTTCGATATCTTCCAAAGTCATCCGTTGTGCAAGGCGACTCAATATGACAGGCCTTTTCTCAATACCTTGTTGCTCTTGGCTGCAAAGCCAATGCAATGCAGTCTGGCCAGACTGATCATACAAGCGCGCATCGGCACCTTGAGTGAAAAGATAGTCGACCAGGTTAAGGATCCCCCTTTTACATGCGAGATGTAGCGGGGTTACCCCGCTGGTCGTTCGGATGTCGACAGCTGTCCCGAATGTCTCTATGAGTGTAATGACAGGACTCCAAATCGGGTTTCCGGTCTCTGGGTCTCCAGCGAAGCCGTCCTGAAACAGGGAACTTATTCCTGGACGGTACTTCCGTGTGGCGATGTGCAGAGCAGACTCCCCGTTGTTGTCCAGGCTGTCTTGATTGAAAGTGTTTGGAGGCCTTGAGTATCGGCGCAAGACATCCCAGCAAGACCACAAATTATCGGCCTGAACCCCTGCAATTTGATGGAAGATGGTGCGACCGTTTTCGTCGGTTGTGTTGATAGAGCCACCTTCTCGCAGGAATTGGCGAAGGAGAAGCTTTAGTACTTGAGGCTCTGCAGCGATAGCTGCGATATGAACAGGCGTACCGCTCCACTTGGGCATAGATACGCACAGATCATTATCTTCGCCCAAGAGGACACCATCGTGATCGTATGTAATCCCATGCAACATACTCTTTGTAGTCCGAGTAGAAGATGGGGTACGCGTCTTCGCGCCATGGCGCAGGAGCATCTGGACGATGTCGACTACGCCATGCTGAGCAGCAATATGCAGAGGCGTCTGTCGGATTACATCTTGAGCGTTTGCATCTGCTCCATGATCGAGTAACCACTGCACTACGTCTGCCTGACTTGCGAGAGCAGCGTAGAACAGAGGAGTTCGCTGGTCACCATCTCGGATGTCCACGTCAATTTCGAGCTGGCAGTGATCAGTTTCCAGGACCTCGAGGAGGCCAAGTAAAGCTGCAACGTGTGCCAGTTTGACTCCATCTTTTGGCTCATGACTAGAGTGTGCCCGACATTGTAGTCGTAGCCATGGTGCGTGATACTGATAAGCTGGATTTAGCAGCAGGTAATGATCCTTCATGCGATGATCCTTCAGGCGATGATCCTTCATGCGATGAAATCCCTCGCTTTGCGACAGATGTTGGAAAATGTTGTGCGTTGCGTACACCAAGAGAGGATACTTCTGGGTCATTGTTTCACTCATACTATGGCCGTCGAAACAAGAAGCGTAGTCCTGGACCAAGCCGATATGTTGCAGCACCTTATCGGTATAATCCAGAAGACATCGAGTGATGTATTCATTCGTGATTGCTGCTTGGAGATGAAAGGCCCCAAGGTCCGGATCACGATGCGCGATGTTCCGAAAAAAGTCCAGAACCGACGAATGTACGAGTAAGACCGTGCGAGAACGAAAGTCACGCTTCACGATGGTCAACAGGTCTCCGGCATATCCGATCTCGTCAGTAATGGCATTCTCCAGCGTCTGGCCTCTACCTGGTCTTGTATGTATGGCCACAGCGAGTTCCTCGAGGCTGAGTTGACACAGAGCGGTGGACAACCAGCGTAGGATCTCGACCACTCTGTCTTTTTTATCTTGGGGTATTGCCAGCAACATACGTCGATACATGCTATCGAGGCCACGTGGGAATGAGTCGACTGTCTTTTCCATGTCAATTACTCGTACCTTCTTCAAGGCGTTGACTGCGAACCCAACCCATAAAAAAGTGCCTTCCGATCGATCGCACAGCCGATTCTTGATGTAATCGCGCGTTTCTGTTGGGCATCGCAAACTGGACATACGGTCGTCCAAAAATTTGGAGATGTCAAACCCGACATGTGGCTGGTTATCGGGTTCAAGACGCAATCGAGGGAATGTGTCCATGGCTTGCTCAATAGAGTAAGGGTGATTGCGACTGACAACAAGAAGCTTCAAGGAGTGAGAAGAGCGATCGGATTTCTGTTGAGAGTCGGTTTCGTATAGGCTTTGGATCTTCGTCCAGAAGTCTTCCAGACCCTCTTCGTCGCATTCGTCTAAGCCGTCGAGAATACATGTAATGGGGTTGATATTTTGGTCGTGCAAAATCCTAGCGAAGATAGTCCAGAGGGCTTGGAACTTTCTATCATCGAACAGACTAGCTCCGTGCTTGTCATAGTCATCCAGGATATGCTCGAAAAGCGATGGACGTTAAGAGAGCAGTTGATAGATAAGGCCGCGGAGAATAGAAACACCATTGTTCCTTCCTTGGTCTCGACTGCAGAAGAAGTGTACGACATGTGCAGCCGAAGAGTTGTCTTTGAGGGTACTGACGAGATGGAGAGAAAGCATAGTCTTCCCCTTGCCGGCATCCCCGGAGATCCATAGTAGGCCGGAAGACTTGGCGATCCAGCTCTTGTATGCGTCCGTTTCCGAAACCCACTCACAAGTGCCCAGTGTTTTCGGTCCTTTGCGGTCTTCGAGCATCTGCCGATAGTCGTCTGGATCATCCCCCAAAGCTGCCAGAAGGTCTCTCAGACATGATTTGCGCGCGGAGTCCTCCTGTGTAGCCGTGTGAAAATGGTTGATGTTACCGACGTGTGAGCCGTCCCCAGTGATGATGGACCCTTGATTCAGGGTAGACCCGTGGGTATTGTCCCCAATGAAGGTGGATGAAGCATTGTCGCTCATCTTTGGCTACTCGTAGCGTCTTGTCCATCTGGTGCTAGGCATCTCGCCCTCTAATGAGTCGAAAAGGTATGAGTTTGCTGTCGACAAACTCGCATCGCGTGGTACTGCGCTGTCCCGTCTTGGCTCATATGATCGTGCATGTTTCCGCAAACTTCCTTGCAAGCGAGAATCCCTATTGTCGCGCAGACGACGCGCACCATCCATTTAGATCGTGCCTGTCGAAAGCATCACCACTAAATTTGGAAGTCCTCGGCACCCTCCTCGGTATCTGCCTTCTTCCAGAGCTCATCTCCCCCAGCAACTCCAGTCTCATCAACACCCCAGGAGTCATTTTCGACTTGCTCCCACCAATTGATCAGGATAGCAGTCAACGGCGTTCCCCAGCCAGGTACGAAGGGATTACCTATGCCGCGATGATACAACACATCCTGACCCGGCTCATATGCTTTTACTTTGGTATCGTCACCTTGCAGAACATGACCGTTACTCCCGAGAGGAAATGGCAGCAGTAACGTGCCACAATACGAGTAGAAGTCGTCGGGCTGAATGTATAGTCCTCCGCGATTGTCCAAAATGCCAGAGCCACGTTTAGGCTTCCAATTCTCCTGGTCGCGTTCGGAAATGAGCTCGATGCCTGGTGTGCGCCACGGGAAAAGTAGAAACAGATAACTCTGGGATATCCAGTGTTGCGGTCCTTCGAGAGTAGCATCAGGGTGTCTGTTTTGCATTTCCGCTCCTACGCGATGGATGAAGTCCTCGTCAGGCACGTCGAGCTGCGGTGCGATAGATTTGAATGGAGGTTTCTTGGCTCTTGAGAGAAACGTGCGTACGAACGGCGGGATCGCCGGATACTTATCCAAGACCTCGGTAGATATCAAAGGTTCTTCGTGCTTCCTCCTCTTCTTGCGCTGTGGTCCTTCGTCTTCTGTCTGGTCTTCATCCTTGTGCTTTTCCTCTTGCGTCTCGGATGCAGGCATCCTCTTCGCGATCACATCAACCAATTTACCCCACACATCCAACATCTGATCCATCTCTTTCTCCGTACACAGCTCAACTCTCCACCCCTGCGTCGCAAGATTATCAGGTTCGCCAAACCCAGGGTTCTGCGCATCTATAACAAACTTCCCAGATTCGACGCAATCCCAATAGAGTTGTAGCACTTCATCAAGATCAGCCCACGGAAGCTTCATCTCATTTGGTTCATAGGGTGAGGTAAATGCATCTTCCAAGTAGGTAACCTGCTGCGTTTCTATATTGTAAACCAGCCCAGCTGGATCATACCCCGTGTTCTGGTACAGCACGATGAGATCAGCGTGGTCATCATCCCAATCCTCCCATGACTGGGTTCGCAAACCGTAACGACCGTGAGGGTTCACGATGCCAACGAGGACTGGGTTGAAAGCTAGATGGTTACTGGCTTCGTTGGGTACGACTAGATCGATGCCAGATAGAAACTCTGTGAGTTCATCATCAAGGTCGAATTCGAAGCCTGGGGAAGCTGGATCTAGTGAGTGTACGGCGAACCAATTGCGCTGGATGATGGGTTGGTGTTTGGGTGGAAGGTGCGAGCGGGCATAGGCGACAATGCGATTGTGCAAAGAGGTTCTTAGAGATGCGATACTTCTCTCTTCGTAGAGTATCTCCTCGCGTATAAGTCGTATAGAATGCGGGAGGTGTAGTTAGCTTGTCGTCTCTAGGTCGCCTCTAGGTCATCGCAGTACCGTAGGATAGCAATGCTAAACTATAGGCTTCGAATTCCGCGCACACAGCAATAAGTCAAAGGGGGGAGTATATAAAGTAACCGCACTGCAGTGTCTTTGTTACTTCTACAACACACACACAATTATGCCGCTTACACCCTTCTCCTTCGCGATAGTAATCATCCTTACAATCATCCACCTTAACGTCTACGCTCGCCCAGCCCACCCTATAACCTTGCGTCTCGCTAGCGAGCTTGTCGCAAGGACACTTAGTGTCTATTAGCAACCTTGCCTATTACTCTTAGCTTAAAGGATGCAAAATACAAGGTTGTACTTGCTCTTCCTAAGCACTCAAATAGGTATGTGCAATACTTGTCTGTTAGATGTGCTGCTTACTACTTATGTAGGGATAACTCTAGCAGCTAGAGCCTTTCTTCTAGCTAAGAGATTAGCTATACAAGGCCTGCTCCTTCGCCTTTAACAACACGCCTACGTACCTACTCTAGCAGAGACTGCCTTTATAGGCTAGATTAGCTTCTGTAGCAACAACGAACGACATGCAAAGACTAATATTATTCTCGCACCTTACAGTCTGTAAGTCCTAATACAGTATAAGGTTTAAGCTGCTTAGGCTGTCTTAAGACAGCAGGAACTAGCATGTAGAAGGTAACATTACTTAGCATAGAAACTAGAATTAAGCAATAAATCGTATTTTAGAACGAATTTAACGTATTTAATCGTATAGGGCCGAAGCTGCGATTGTGCAACTCGATAGACTTTGCTACGTCCCAACCCATGCTGGAAGTGGTGGCAGAAGAAAAAGTAAGAGGTTGTAACCAAAATACCATGAAAGTAGCTGCAGTCGGATCACCGCAAGACGAGCCGAACGCAAGAAGTTGCAGGTTTCCAGGCAGAAGCTTGCGCCAGTGTCGAAGGAGCCGGGTAGCCGAAAACGCACAGATGTCATGGCGCTTTAGGAAGCCGCCACTGTCTAGTCCGATCACCAGGATGAGAAGTCGCGGAAAGTACATAGACTGGTATTGAAGTACACACGCTGCAGAAACGGACCAGGCTTCCCTATCATACCCATGCCACACCACATCATCACTCCTCCATCTTCTCCCCACCAACCACCCCCGCATTCCCCTCCCCCAAATGCTTCAGCAGCCAACTCCTCTTAAAATACGTATTCGGATGCACAATCGTATCCAAATCATTACTACTCCAGCTCCCCTCCTCCTTAACCTTCTTAATCTCCTTCTTGTGACTCCACTCAAACAGTCTATTACACGCAACATGATACCTCTGTTTCCCCACATCCTCTTTAACCGTCTTGAGCACATCCCTATCATTGACACCCACACGCTGCAACATGGTGAGCAGGTTTTCCGGGGCGAAAGTGCGGTAAGGACAGCCGTGCGATTGACCAGCACCAGGCAGGGCCTCGGTGAGGAGCTTCTGGCAGGAGTACGGCGTGTAGCCGCGGCCGCGACGGTTTGCGTCGCCGCCCACGTCGCCGTAGGCGTGGCGGATGTTGTATTTGTATTCTTTTTGGAATTTCTCGTCGGTGATGAGCTTGAAGCTGCGGCGCCAGAAGACGAGGCATTCGTCGAGGCTGAGGCCGATGCCTTTGAGGAAGAGGGTGTATTGTAGGCGGCCGAAGTGC